ACAGTACAGGGGCGTTGGTTTCTTTCGGGGACGCACAGATTGTACAGGCAGATGTTAAATCTGCTTCTGTGCATCTGACGTGCGTGCGTGTGTGTGTGTGTGTGTGTGTGTGTCGGCGTCTCCAGAGCTTGCTGCCTGTATGAGTGCTAGCAGAGGTCCTAGCGGGTTCACTGCTTTCTCCCCTGCAGGCAGAATGTGCCCACCTCATTGGAAAAAGCCACTGGCCTGCGCCAACCCAAGGCTGCATATTAAATACTCTTTGACAAACACGCTACACACACTGCAGCCTTACCGCACTATGAAGATTGCAGCATTAAGATAACATTCTAGAGATGCATCCTGAGGACAGATGAAATCTGCACAGTGTTCAAAAGATGTTCACTTCTTCTACTTTTCACCTGCTGCTGCTATGAAGCGACTGTCTGCATTGAGGTACTCACCGTGAAGATAATTACGGAGTGGGAAGGAAGTCTTGCAAATATGTCTCTGTGTGTATTTTCTTCAGAGAAATAATTTATAATTCCTCACAGCAAGACCTTTTATACCTCCCCCACTCCTTCACTTCTACCCACTGGCTCCCTCCCCCTATTTCCCCTTAGCCCTCACCCTCTCTCCTCCCTTCTCCTTCTATCAGGGCTCTTTTCCACCGTTCAATCAGACCAGGGTATTAGCTCACTCTCTCCTCAGCTCCCACGCCTTCACCAAAAACTACAGCAGTGTGGGTGATGGAAAGCCGCGGAGGAACAGAGACAAACAAGCAGAGGGTAAACAGAGGGAAGCTGGCACAGGGACCTCCAGCCCGCTTCATAGCAGGTACATGACAATATTCATTGCTGTTTGCCAGCAGACAGCACCTGGGATGACCGTACATCACAGAGGCAACGCAAGGACCCATGTGTCTGTGGGAGCATGGAAACACATGCAGTACCAAAATCGGTATTTTGGCTAGTGCTTCATTTTGTTTTGCATGTATAAGCAGACAAAATCATTACTCCACAACAGTTGTTGACAAGTCTCTTATTTACTGTAAATTAAAAAACACCTTAAAACATCTTTATGCCTGTTTCAACCACATGATAGTGTGTGATAAACCACACATTAAATGTGATAAACCACACATTAAATGTTGATATGCTGCTTATAAATGGGGATAAAACTGCTACCAGACTCCAAAACCTCAACCAGGAATTCAGTGGGTGGACTAAAATATTTCTCATTAACTTAATGTAAAGATTTAAGTTTTGTTCATTTGAAATTCATTCACCTTATAAACACAAGTTGTTTTGACTTAAGATAATTCAGAAGTGAGTTGAATGAATGACGTGATGAGAGTTAACTCACTAAATTACATTTCTAAAGAAACAAGACCAGCATATTAACGAACATTATCCTAAGTTTAAGTCATTTACTCAGGTTCTGGTAACTGAACTAATTTTCCAGGTCCAGAACTCATTAAACAACGTCACTCATAACTTAAACCCACTTTCTGTTAACTCACATTAAGGCAACAGGGAAACAGTTTGAACCAATTTACACCTTCGTTTTATATTTTGGATTAATTTTCATAACTGGAAGCTGTGGTCTCTGTTTGTCGGTATATAAACAAGCTGTTACTGCTCGTATTTAATCAACATAACACGTTTCAGTGTCTGCACTGTAAAACTCTATGCAGGGATTTGGTGAAATCAACTCTTAACTTTTCACTTACTTTCATTTTCAGATCATTACATCATTACAGAAACTCTTTTGTAATTATTATTAATTTAGAGAAAACATCCATAATAGAAACATGTGGGTTGTCCTTAATAGATGATCTTTTTTTTGTTAAATGAGGAAGAACAATGCAAAGCCTTGTGGAGGCACAGCTGGAATCTTTTATGTCAATTCAGAACGGATCCTTCAAACTGGAAACATTCAACAATTATGATTTAACCAAAACAAATGCGATTTAACAACTTGTCTCTGAGAATCAACTGAACTTATTTTGTCAAGTTCAGTGAATTTAACTTGGTTTGCTTTACATAACCGTATCTAATTTGAACCAGTTATTCAACTTAACTGATCATTTTAAGGCAGAATAAGCTTAAACTCATTTTCTATGTTACATTTGCAGTATTAGGAGCACGTTGTTTACTTATGAACATTTCAGAAGGTGCTTGATCTCAAAACAAGGTTAAAGCTCCTCTATCTGATGTCTTTTCAGCCTGGAGGGTGTTCAGACTTTTAGCTGCCCAGAGCTCCTCCATGGCTGTTTGACACATGACTAATGTCTGAAAAACCCTTCTTCTAACCTTGGCTAGGGGGCAGGCGGGGCTGATTTACAGACCGTACTTTGACAACACAAGGTGGAGAAGCTGGAATAACAACAGGCTGTAGGCAGCAGAGGGTCATGGAGGGGGGGGGGGTAGCTGGGAGACACCAGGTCCCACTGTCACTGGGGTTATCAGACTATATGTAAATACAAATTCCCTGTTTGTTTCCATCTTGAAGGACGCCCCAAAGCTCTTACAGCTGCTCCGAGGATCAAGCAGTGATGAGGCGGCTGAAGGAGACATGAGCGAGGACACAACAGATCGTCCTTCACAGTTGTCTTTTATGGATGAGCGTGTCCCTGTATCACACATCAAATGAATAACTGGTAAAAAAGACGTCTCATGTCTCTAAACACGTTTCCTCGATTGCTCTCTCATTGCATCTTAAATGGCTGGAACTGGGACACAAGGAAAGGATGCAGTTGAGGAAAATGTGGATGCATTTAAGGGAATCGAGATTTACCCAATGTGTAAAATCTTGGTTAATGCACCTTTAAGCACCCCTGCACAAACTGCACTTTGTGTAGCAAGTCTTCAGTGCACCTAGTTACACAAAACAACCTCTGTGGTGTATATCTGTTACGTAACGCTACGTTACGCTTGACACAGCCAGAACATTCTGTGAGTAGCTGTGTGAGAGCAGACCCTTGCCAACTGTAAACAAACCGGACCGGGGTCAGGTTATGCCAGGATTTCAGACAGACAGATAAACATTAATGCAGACATAAAGATGGAGATAATACCAACCGACTGATAGGGGAGGAGGGAGCGAGAGGGCGGTGGGAGAAAGCACATGTTGCAGTCTGGGATGTTTTTGGCACTGGGGCTGCAGACATATTCAGTGATGTGGTCATATTAAGGCTGTAAACTCTGGCAGCACTGAGCAGCGGTTTGGTTTTCGAATGCAGATGTTGTCCAGCTTCTACAAGCAGATACTGTACCAACACAAAGGAGGGAAGATAAATGAGAGGGACTGTTTTCCTCTAGGTTTTAAAGAGGTTTGGAGAGAATCTGTGAATTGACAGGCTTATTAAGTGGTTGTTCCTAAACTTGGAGACAGACATAAGAGCAGAGGCAGAGGACATGGAGAGGGTGATTGCATGGAAAAAATGTCAAATACACAATTTATTCATCCTCCTCCATATGTTTTTATGCTGCTCTCCTCATGTACATCTCTACATACCTCCATGCTAGTTCAGTACTTTTCCCTCTTCTCCCTCCCTGTTACACAGCTGACCAATCACCTCCACAGCCTTCCCACTCTGTGTGGTCAAACTGCATATCTAGCTCATGAGAAAGTGTTATGAATGCACACTACAGAAAGCCAGAATCGTGGTGTTTGTGAGCAGTGAAGAGTGCCAGAGGCCCAGATCAATTATAAATGAAAAACAGAGGGAAGTGAAAAACAGGATAGGAGTCACAGGGAAGGGCTGTGCATGGCGGCAGTGACTAACAGGACACACCTGTGTGGTACAACTGGCTTGAATCAGTGATAGCAGCAGTTTGGGAAGAAGACACAGGCACAACATGACCTTAGAAGGGGAACTTACTGGATCCGATTCTACTGGAGGCGACCATATGATGCAGGATGTGGAGGAGGAATGGAAGGAGAATTTGAGAATTTGGTGAAAGAAAACAATCAAATCAGAAGCAAAAAGAAAGTGATGGAAAGTGCATGAATTTCATAACAAGGTCCTGACCACAAATGTGTAAACTATCTAAATCATGTCTGCAAAAACACATATTCTAACCTGTTTGGGCAGGTTTGTGCTTCCCTCAGTGGTTGTGCAGGTGTACCTCACGCTGCTCTGTGGACACAACGCAGACAAACATGAATCCAGCAACAACGCCCAAGAAACATTTAGCACCCAAACAGCAAGCCCAATATTTTCCTGCTGTTTGAAGGTCTTTTTTTTTAATGGTCATTGCTGTGATTCACTGTTAAATTCTATTTGAAAACAGTAGACATGTTACGGAGTGACTGACTCAGATAGAGCTGGTGAAAATATCATGTGATGTAGGCTCATTCCCTGGCTCTGTCAGGCTGTGGGATAGAGGAGGATCCAGCCAGACAGGATGAAGGACAAACATTATTCAGGACTGTCCTCCTTTTATCCTCTGATGGTCCTGTTGTGCGAATTTTGGCACATGAATGAGAACAAAACTTCATGTAGATTTATGGGTTTTGCACAGCGCTGGCATTCTTCAGAACACATGGATCCTCAAGTCTGTTTTTTATTATTATCTGATTTAGATGTCTCAACCTAGGTCATAGGAAACACACAGAAAAGTTGTTTTGTCAGCTTTAATTTTAGAAAGTTACGTGAAATGAAAAGCAGCAGTGGAATTTTTTCTTTGGTTTTTGGCTTCTCTCCCCGCCATCATCGCCTTTCACAAAGTGCAGGACACACACAGATACAGTACAGTTTATGTGCTGAACAAAGATCATGTACCACTGGTTTATCAGGTCTGACCAGTCTCTGTGGCCAGTGCATACTTTGTGCTGTGGGTAAGCAGAAATAAAGAGGACACACAAATCATTAATAAAACATTTATCGAGTGGCAGCGACTTGGCATGGCAGCCCTCGTGTAGAGGAGAGGAACCTGAAAGCAGCAATACACTGGAAAACAAGAGGTATCTGGGGAATGTTTGCTTTGGGAACAAAACTGCACATGTTTAAAAGACCTTTTCCACATTTGGGGAAATACAGATATGCACTTTTTTGCCACGAGTTAGATGTGAAGATCAATAAAACTCTCGTCTGTGAAGCTGGAGGCAACAGCTGGTTAGGGACTGTAAGTTACTGAGGAGGGCTGAACCTTATGTCAGGAAAGCAATTTACACTACCTTACACTAACTCCCCCTCTTATATGTTTTACAGTCCCCTAGCTTAGCTTAGCATAAATACTAGAAACGGGGGGAAACAGCTAGCCTTAGCTTAGCATAAATACTGGAAACAGGGGAAATAGCTAGCCTTAGCTTAGCATAAATACCGGAAACAGGGGGAAACAGCTAGCCTTAGCTTAGCATAAATACCAGAAACGGGGAAACAGCTAGCCTTAGCTTAGCATAAATACTGGAAACAGGGGAAACAGCAAAAGCCTTAGCTTAGCATAAATACTTACTGGAAACAGGGGGAAGCAGCTAGCCTTAGCTTAGCATAAATACTGGAAACAGGAGAAAACAGCTAGCCTTAACTTAGCATAAATACTGGAAACGG